TAGTCGAACCCCCTCACAAGGGATCTCTTCCTGGACAGTGCCACAAGTGCCAATTGTACGGGCACGCGGCACGCAACTGCTTCGCCAAGCCCAGGTGCGTCAAGTGCCTAGGCGATCATGGCACTCCCGATTGTCCCAGACCAAGGGACAAAGCACTCCTCAGCAATTTCGCCCCCCCCCCCCCCCCCCCCCCCCCCCCGCCTGCGTACTCTGCCAGTCGGAAGGACACACGGCCAACTACCTTGGTTGCCCCAAAGCGCCAAAACGCAAACCGTTTAAGCCTGCCACTCAGGCAGTTAGAAGGCCGCCGGTTCCTACGGCCGCCTCTTTTCCTCCATTGCGCCCCGCGTGCGTGGCAGAACCCTATGGCCCCCGCATGGGCCAAACCAAACCCGCGCATTGCAGAAGCAATGTTTCCACAACCCACCGCGCAACCAACGTTCGTCCCGCCCAGCCCTACGGCCGGAGGTAACCCCTTCGAGTCACTCACAAGGCTCGCCCGTACCGTCAATATGACGGAATTCATGACTTTTGCGGAACAGTATGCAAAAGCAGACCTACATACCAGGATCGAACTCGTGTGTAGGTATCCGCACATCGTGTGTGCGCTCTCCTCTTAGGCCCCTCAATGGCTACTACACCCAATAGTAATACCACCGCGAATGTCAGTCCCTCTGCTACGCGTAATAACTGCAGAGCTAAACCGCGATCGATTAACGTAGCCTTCTACAACGCCAACGGGCTAAAAGAACAGCGCGACGAAAAACGTATTTTCTTACGCGACCACCAAATCGATATACTTCTTATTCAGGAGACGCTCCTGAAACCCGCGACAAGGGATCCGAACATCCCCAATTATCGAATAGTTAGGAACGATCGTGTCGGCGCCCCGGGCGGCGGCACACTTATTTACTATAAAAAATCTCTCCATTGCGTACCGGTAGACACGCCCGCGCTCACGCATCTCGAGGCCTCCGTCTGTCAGCTGGCTTTAACCGGCCACTCTCCTATCACCATAGCATCAGTTTACCTCACTTGTAGACCAACCGCATTAATATTGCAATCAGATTTTGAGGCCCTCTTCTGTATAGGAGGAGCCACCATCCTAGCTGGCGACTTCAACAGCAAGCACACCCGATGGAACTCGACACGTACCAACAGTCGAGGCACCGCACTCGACTCGCTATCCGACAGGCTCGACTTTGAATTGAATTCGCTGCCCCCGTCGAACATACGCGCTTTCCATACGTAGAGGGACACACATCGGATGTGCTTGACATTGCACTCATCAAAAACATCAGTCTCTCCTTATGCGAACCGGAAGTGATACACGAGCTTCACTCCGATCACCGACCAGTTCTCCTCCGGCTAGGGCCTTCAGCAACAGCCGCTCCCCTAACCAAAACCGTCATCAGCTGGCATAAAATCAAATCTAAATTTAACGAACCTAATCCTCCACAACTAGAGTCAATCCCTAGAGAACTAAATACCAAACAGGACACGGAAACCGCAATTCGAGCCCTCACAAGCCACGTCAACACCGTCGTCGAGCAATGCTCGAGACAGGTCCCGGCGATGGAAGACCATCGCTGGGCCCTGCCAGACGGTGTGCGAGACTTGCTGAGACGCAAGAACGCGGCCACACGCGCCTACGATAGATATCCTACCGACTTGAATCGTAGACTGCTACGTAAATTGCAACGTGAAGTCAAAACACGTATAGCAGACTCACGAAACGAACGATGGGACTCCACCCTAACTTCATTAAAACCATCCCACGTAGCCTTCTGGAAACTTCTCAAATCCCTCAAGGGTAACGGCATAACAACCATGCCGCCACTAGTCCGTCCGATAGGTACGCCAGCAATGCTGGACGAAGAGAAGGCCGAATGCCTGGCTGACAGCCTAGAGTCTCAATGCTCCCCCAGTCTGCTTCCGATCGACCCCGAACACCTCCGCAAGGTGAACGAAGAGGTAGAAAGGAAAGCCTTAGAGCCACTTCGCGATCCCGTTCCCCCAGTCACGTGCTCCGAACTAATAGACACCATTAAAAAACTACGCCCCCGTAAAGCACCAGGCTCAGATGGAATCACCAATAAGGTGACCAAGCTCCTCCCTACTAGCATCCTTCAGATACTAGTATTAATTTACAACGCGGCCTTAACCGAAGGCTTCTTCCCATCCGAATGGAAGGAAGCCGATGTCATAGGGTTCCTCAAACCCTCTAAACCCGCCACTCTCCCAACCTCATATCGTCCAATAAGTCTTCTCAAAACATTTGGGAAGATCTTTGAAAGACTAATATTAGCCCGCTTAAGATCCCTTATGGACACCAAAGGGCTCCCCATCCCAGAGCAGTTTGGATTCAGAGCCAAACACTCATGTACCCACCAAGTGCACCGCACCACGGAGCACATATTAACCAAACGCCAACGTGGACTCAACACCGGTGCACTCTTCCTGGACGTGGCAAAAGCGTTAAGTCTGGCACAACGGGCTCGTATACAAGCTATACGGGTACGGAGTGCCTGACCGTCTCGTATGCATAATACGAGACTTCCTAACTAATCGAACCTTTCGCTATCGCGTCGAGGGCGTGTGTTCGACTACGCATCCCGTTCGAGCCGGGGTGCCCCAAGGGTCGGTGTTGGGCCCAGTCTTGTTCACTCTCTACACCAATGACATGCCGCGTGTCAAAGATGTAGAACTTGCTCTTTTTGCCGACGACACCTGTATCTATACCACAGGCAGAACACCCGAATTGATCCATCGACGCCTCCAAGCTGCGGCCATCACTATCGGTGACTGGTTTCCCGCCAAAACCGCGGCCGTCCTTTTCGCGCTCAAAAAGAACATACCTATACCACCCCCCGTTAAACTCTTGGACAGCCCAGTACCATGGGTTAATAAAGTCAAATATCTAGGCGTCGTCCTCGACTCCCAGCTTAAATTCACCCAGCACGTGACCCAGGTCAGGAACCGGGCGGCCTTCGTACTCGGTCGCCTCTACCCGCTCCTCAATAAAACGTCTAAAATGTCCCTTCGGAACAAGGTGACCTTATATAAGGCAGTAGTTCGCCCTATCATGACGTACGCTAGCCCCGTCTTCGCTCACATTACTCCGAAGCAAATACACCGGCTTCAGGTGATTCAAAATCGATTCTTGCGCAGAGCCACGGGAGCACCCTGGTTCATGCGCAATATCGACCTACATGTCGATCTAGAATTGCCCACCATCGCGCAATTCCTGAAGTCGGCGTCGCGCCGATATTTCGATTCCGCCGCCGCGCATCCCAACCCATTTATCGTAGGTGCCGTCACCTACAGGCCCTTGCCGCTAAATATTTTCATTTTTATTTAATTTATTAGAGGTCCGGCCCTCTCGGGCACCCTCGAATCGGAATGCTAAACGCGTGCTGAGTGACAGCCCAAGCCGAGGTCCCCTCTCGGGGACCCTTGAGCCTGATCACTCCATGGAGCGCCCGCCAAAGCGCCCTAAGAGCTTGGCGGCCTCCCAAACCGGTGATAATAATAGCGTGACGGCCCGAGCCGAGGCTCCCCCGGGAGCCCTCGAGCTTAGTCACCATAACGCGTAATAATAATACGCAGAGGTTCAGGCTAGGCGCCTCGTGCGCCAGGCCACCTCAAGTCCGTCGGAACTGTAAAGGCCCCTAAGGCCAACAGTGGCTCATCCAGCCCAAAAAAAAAAAATCTCATTAGGAAGAGTGGTCGCTTCACGTACACCCAGCTCAAGAGCATCGGCGCGCGGTAACGAGATAGCCCACGACCATTAGAAAGAGAGGCCTCGCCGCCAGAAAGGAGGGCGTGTGCAATTCCCTTCCCTTTCAGTTTTTCGGGTCAAGAGCGTTGCACTGTAACGCGAACGTGAGCGATTGTGGAATACAAGTCATTCGCGAGTCGCATTTGTTCTTTCTTCTTTTGAATTTGAAATGTGGAATCATTGTTCTTTTTTTGATGTATGTTTTGGATGTTATATTTCTTTTTAAACCCTAGCTCTATTGCCTCAGCTTCACCTAGTGAATATACTGTAAAAATTATCGGAAAGAGCGGTAATCTCACTTTGATAGTAAGCGATAATGTCGATTGCACCCAATGTGTCAACGTCTTCTTCAATCTGCCATATTTTCTTATTATAGGCTTACAACCTTATGCTATTGAAAAGCTATTAACAAATTCGAGTTCTCATATTCGTGGAGATTTCTTTTAAGTGAAACCTTGTCCGACGAGCAGGGGATTCAGCTAAAGTTAAGTAATTTCCGCCACCCATGGACAACTTATGAGGGGTCACTGGGGTCTAACTATAAAATGTGGACCCTGGCTTCCTCAGTCACCATACGAAATTCAAAAGTATAATACTTCCACTTCACGCTGGTCTTCTTAAGGCTATGGTCTTCCTGCCCATTCCTGCAACAGCAGAAGCTGTTGCGGTGCCCTGCTACGGTAAGTTAATCACTACATAGTATAAAATTGTCGCCCCGCTGTCTGTCTGTCCCTATGTATGCTTAAATCTTTAAAACTACGCGACGGATCTTGATGCAGTTTTTTTACTCGATAGTGATTCAAGAGGAAGGTTTATATTATGTATACATTGCACCCGTGCGAAACCGGGGCGGGTCGCTACTAAGCGATAAACGAACAAATGAGCGCAAACATACTCTTTAAAACATGTATCACATCAAAGAGATGTAATAATCAATTCCAGAATCCAATCAAAAAGGGACCAAAAGGATTAATTAAACGACATCACGTACACAGTCATATTAATGCCATAATCGAAATTAGATTCTCATCGGCTGCAACGCGGTAATGGCTAGTGCGACATGGTTGCAATTAAAATAGTCGACGCGTTCCATTTACGACCCAGTCCAACTCGGCAGTTAGCACGCGTTTACGTTGCCCGCGCGAATATCATCGTTCCGGGCGTCATTGCGACATAGTTCCATTTCCTTTGAGTGGGCCGGAGATTTACAACCTTGTTAAGTGTAATTGGACGAGTTTGACGCCGCGGATGCGACCGGGTCCCATTTGCTTTCAGCTTTATTACGAGATGGAACTTTGTCGCGGCGAAAGCTTAAATTCACCGCGTCTCTCGCAGACTTCGCAATGTCAAATGCTGAATAGTATGCAGGGAGCTCATTAAAACGCCAAGACTGCTCTTTTGTGATCCTAATGCCGGCCGAGGGTTACTGATACGTTAAATTAATATGCTACCTAGCTCGTATATGTCGGTCTAGTTATTTTTCTTGGAGTCTGGATCTGGGAAGGAAATCGATCCACAAACTAGATGAAATCCGTACATGAATTTTTACCATTGAAACAATATTTGATATTTCCTCTTGTCTGCTCGGTCGACGCAATTGTTAAGTTGTTGGTTTCAGCGCAGCGATATGGGGTTCGATTCCCGCACGGGACAAGAATTGGTGTCCCTTAGGTGGCTATTGGCCAATAGCATGCGTATCCTGTTGTGGGTTCGCTACCGACACGGGCAATAGTTGTATCGTGCCTGGGTGTACTTTATGCCAGTGGTGTATATGTACATGAAACCGGTCTGATTGCTTAATACGACCGTTTAAAAATACATACGCCGCGGGAATTTTAACCCGCGAACTTATACCACGAACCACCATCAACAACCGCTGGGCGACTAATAATATGGACGGTATACAACCAGCGTTTGTGGCTGCCCCATAATTGATTTAGGGCGCATTTTTGAACACGAAAAACGTTAATATTTACGAGACTGTTCGTTAGAGTCCGAACGTAAACGGATTTCGCAATTTGAGCCTATTCAGGTTTTTGCGAAACATCGCTGGACCTGTGAGTACATAAATTTATATTGGCAAAGGTATGTAGTTCACAAGTTATAGTTGCTATATGCCACTGTTACGATTACCCGACATAATAGTATTCTTTATATGTCATACAAATACACTAAGCCGTTATAGCTCAGTGTCCTGGCGCTCGCCTTTAATTCAAAATACTCGAGCAACCTAAGTTCGATCCCCGGTGCCGGCACCAATGAAATTGTTAATAGCAAGTGCTGAATTAACACTTGCTCAGCGGTGGACATCGTGAGGAAACCTGCATATTTTCTAAATAATAATAAAAAAATATTTTGAAGATATTTCATGTCCGCCAATACGCAGTGGGGCCTCGTGGTGGGCAATGCCCTGATACCCTCTGTACTGAGGAGGCCTTTGCCCAGCAGTGGGACATGTATAGGCTGATACTTTTTTAAATACCACATCTCATTGAAACGCCAGAGAAGTTTTTAACCTCCCAAGGAATTGAAGATCCGATATGTCTTGTGAATTGTGAGGTTGTCTTTTTCGCCATGATGTGCACCATATATCAAACCCTGTATGTAAAAAAATTATGTGATGACCATATTTTTTAAATAGACGTGCGGCTGCCTTGGAAGCGAACAGCGACGACGAGACGCAATCCTGTCCATCGACAGCCACGACCACTATGCCAAGAGTGTCCGATTAAGAAGAAGAAATATTTTTTTTATTTTTTTAAGTGGATTCCGCCACTCATGGACATCTGCTACACCTGAGGGATTGAAGATGGCTTGACAGCCTTTTGAAAAGTGAGGTAACCCTCACTCAACAGATGAATTGCAAAACTCAAAACACTCCCACTTGCCGCCACTCTTCTGTAAGGCCGTGGAATTTCCCCTGCCCATTCGTGCAACAATAGGAGCTGCTGCTTAGCCCTAGCACAATAAGATTAGTACTAGAAAAATACTAGTACGGATATCATTACGATTAAAAATTATTATTGTTAGCTACGAATTCATGTAACAAGGATTATACGAAAATATCGCTATAAAATGCTTCATGTAAATTAATCAGATAAATTTTCGTGCCAAAAGAAGGCACGACCATACTAAAAACTATTAAGTTAAATTTTAATTAAGTAGAATTTACAGTTTATTCCCATTACGGGGGAATGCAGACGCGCTTAATCTGTCCGCGGGACGTTGGGAAACGAGAAAACATGAAAAAGGGAGCAAACAAGAAAACATCCATTCAGCGAGGCTCATTAGTTCTTCCATTACATTTAGACGTCACCGCTGAAAATGTTTTCGCGGTAAAGTTGCGAATAACCCCCCCCCCCCCCCCCGTATCCCCCCCCCTACCCCCCATATCCGCAACGACAACCGTTTAATTAGCTCAGTGGCCTTTATGAAAATACGCGGCAACACAGCTGACGGCGTTCGTTAGCAAGCAAAATCCTCGCCCGCCCGAAACGGAAACGCCTCAGGCGCGTTCCCATCGACGGGTACTCTACTCCCTCGTGCATCTGACGGCTAGTACTCCAGTAATCCAGTACATATACAATAAATGGTGCGTATTCGTATTTGTATTTTGTGTAGAAGGGATCGGGTAGTAAGCTTAACAGCCCACCGATATCTGCGACCTTTTTTTATGGGAAAAAGGCGGCAAATGAGCAGGAGGCTCACCTGATGGTAACTGATCACCGCCGCTCATGGACACCTGCAACACTAGAGGTCTTGCAAATGCGTTGCCGGCCTTTTAGGAAGGGGTATGCTCTCTGCTTGAAGGTTCCCAGGTCTTAACGGTTCGGAAGGACCGCCCGCGGCTGCTGGTTACACAGAGTGGTTGTGCGAGGCAAGAAATGCCTTGAAAATCGCGCTGTTGCGGAACGCTGGACATCGAAATGGTGTGTATGAAATTTTTGAATTAAGGAACCTAGAAGATATATTGTAGTCTTCTCTTCGAAAACATTGAACTACTTTAGGATAACTCAATCCTGTGTTGCAAGGACGTTTTGCATACATAAATATCACGTGGACAAACACCCAGATCCGAAACAGTTATCTGTGGGTCACTAAAATAGTTTTATCGTGTGGGAATCGAGCCCACGCCCCCGGCGCCAAGTCAACTGCGACACAGAGTCAGCAAACGGAACGTACTCTGATTTGCATGTTTAAGCGTCTCTTTAGAAATCCCACGCCACAATAACTATTCGAAAATGGAAATCAATGCTAAATGTAATCATAATAAATGTCACCGGTAAGCGATTAATACTGCTTTCTTAGATGTAGACTTTTAGACTATTATTAGGTTCATAAGACGCGAGATGAGGTCACAGTAATATTCATCATCATCATCATCATCATATCAGCCGTAGGACGTCCACTGCTGATAGGTTCATAAGACGCGAGATGAGGTCACAGTAATATTCATCATCATCATCATCATCATATCAGCCGTAGGACGTCCACTGCTGAACATAGGCCTCCCCCATTGACTTCCACTTCGACCGGTCGTTAGCGGCCTGCATCCAACGCGTCCCTGCGATCTTGGCTAGGTCGTCCGTCCACCTTGTGGGAGGCCTTCCTACGCTGCGTTTGCCGTCACGTGGTCTCCACTCGAGAACCTTTTTGCCCCAACGGCCATCGGTTCTTCGAGCTATGTGCCCTGCCCACTGCCACTTCAGCCTGCTGACTCGCTCTGCTATGTCGGTAACTCTAGTTCTTCTACGGATCTCCTCATTTCTGATTCGATCTCGTAGAGAAACCCCAAGCATTACCCTTTCCATAGCGCGCTGTGCGACCGCGAGCTTCCTTATGAGGCTCATAGTGAGAGACCACGTCTCGGCACCGTAGGTCATCGCTGGTAGCACGCACTGGTTAAAGACTTTCGTCTTTAAGGACTGTGGTATTTTGGACGTAAAGACGCTGCGCAATTTCCCGAACGCAGCCCAGCCGAGCTGGATTCGTCGATTGACCTCCTTCTCGAAGTAATATTGAATATGTTCAATAAGATTTATACACCTTATTTATACATACCGGTATCTTTTTCTGGATCGAGATATTTAGATGTATTGTATAAATTGTCTATGAAATTGTCTGTGTTGGAAACACACATGAAATCATACAATATATGTTTGAGTACTATAAATAGAAAATTATAAGTTAAAGTTTATTAACATTGTTATATTTTTAGTGCAGAAAATTAAAACCACTGTATAAGTTACATATTTATTAACTAAGGCACTGTATAATGGATTATTTTTGACTTTCAACTAGGTAGTATTGCATGACGAACGATATATATGTATATACAGCTCACATATAGAGGATAACTTTATAAAATTGTATTAAGCATTTACATTCTTTAAACATCAATATTTACCGAGTTATTAAATTTTACAAAACAAACATTTTTAGAACACCCTTACGTATAAAACTGTAACGTAAAGTTCATTTGTAAAGGTCACAAAGCATATGAATGGGTTGAATGAATTTAAAAGAGATAAAACATACCGTTAGAAGGAAAGACTTGTAATGCGACGTTGTGGCAACGAAGTCTCTGCATGTATGAATCAGTCAGTTGTAGTTGTATAGGATGTTACAAATTTTGTTTCTTATTTATTTAATTAGTTTATGGGCAAAATATATCTTTTTAATTATGGATTTTTAACGTTTTATATTTTTTTATGATTATTGGCAAGTAGCGTTAGACGTGTGTTCATTTATTGACGCGGTTGTAAGAACGCGATGTATATAGAGAACAAAAAAAAGACGAAAAATACGCGTACTTATTTTAATTAGTTAAAGGAATGCACGGCTTCATATTAATGACTTAATAAGATTACATTTTGATACGAGTGACTTTTCTAGTGAATTCTTTGCAATAGCGTCTCTATTATTAACGGTCCGTTAGGTTAAAAGGGTTTCAAAAATAGTACGGTGTAATCGGGCTTCAATCTCTGATTCTACATTGCCAGTTAATTGAGCTTTGTATTAAGGGTATTGCGATAGTACATTTTTATTCATTCAATCAATCAGCCTAATGCAGTCCACTGGTGGACATACTCGTAGTCCTCCTCAAGGCGCCGCTCCAGGGCATGACTTTCCGCTTTCCTCATCCAGCCATAACCGGCGACCTTTCTCAGCTCATCGTTCCACCAGAGAGGGGACGTCCCACACTTTTCCCTCGAGAACCCGTCTACTGAAACTCTCATCGGTTTTACGACAGCTATTTAAATGCGCGATTGGTAAATTATCTTTCTCTACTTTCTGCCGATCTCCCTTGAGATAGAGGGTATCAGGACATAGTCCACCACGCGGCCCCACTGCCGATTGGCGGACTTCACATATCTTCAGTAATATGTTTTGTAAATATGCAAGTTTCCTCACGGTGTATTCCTTCACCGTGTAGCCCGTGATAAATCAGCACTTAAAATTAACCATTCATTGGTGCTGGCACCGGGGATCGAACTCAGGTTGCTCGAGTATATTGAATTAAAGGCGAGCGCCCGGACACTGGGCTATCACGGCACACGTAACTTACTCGTACTTGATGTGGGATTTGAGAACACGAATTAGCATCACGAATCGATGCTATGTTTAACTTAACGATATTGTTGTACCTGTTGCCAGTAGGCATGCACTTGTTGAATACAGAATTCTATGCAACATTCCAATCGCTCTGCAACCGTATGAGGCTACATGGAACTTTGCAAAACAATTTGCCGGCGTAAGCACGAACCGAGAGATCTTGCTGCGTAAGCGCCTAGCTCAGACGAGGCGCTCAAACTTCCGGTAAAGTTACGTAAAAAGTTTCTAAACGAAACGACCCCGTCGAGCGAGGTGCGAACAGTAAGACATGCCTAAGCGAAAAACGTTTTTCAGCCGCTTCGCGATTAATTTTCTCTCGTTTTCTGTCGAACGGAAGCCACTGTCAGCTATTGCTATAAAATGACAAATAAAATAGGCTAATGACAAAAGAGGATTTTTTTTTATTTTTAATCAATGCACCTATCTAAACTTCTCTGGACCACCCCAAGGTTGACTGGCAGATAATGCTGATGGCATTAAGTTCGCTTTTGTACGAGTATATGTATACATAAAAAAGTAATAAATAAATAAACTAAAAACTTAAATTGTGAAAATTTTGTTACTTAACTTATATAAAAGATCAACAACTTTCGGCGCTGCGAGATTCAAAACTGCATCCGCCAATTAAAGCATCTAGACTTAACCAAGTAATCTACCGATACCGATAAAAGAAATGGAGGCAGACGTAGAGATTTTCCAATTAAACACAATATCCGTTCACTACTACTTAGTTAAGTGCAACAAGGAGGTTAACAGAGAAAACAAAACCTCTTTACTATGTCGATGAAATTCAGAAAAGATTTCGTAACGTACGGCGCTACAAAAAAATTTAGTACATTCAAAAATTTAATCATACATTGGTGATGAATTGAATATATTGCATAATAAATCCAGATGCGCTGAACATTTAACAATGTAATCGACACAACCACCAGACAGTCTATATGGAATGGATAACAAGCGGTCGGAATGCACAACCCTAGCCGCTGGCGTTTGTCTGGAGCGCGCCGCAGGGCTGTCACATTGCGGAATTACATCCATTTGTATGCAGATGTCAGCGGCGAGGTATTAAGTCGGCGGGGCTCTGGCTAGATGCAAATAACTCGTGGAAATTAACTCATCGATGTGAGAGGACCCTCTGCTCCTCCATCCGAATGGTAATTATGTTATAATTTTTAAAATAAATCACACAGGAGCAGGGGTTTGTAACAACAGAGGCCCATCATTTCGCCGATTATAATGAAGATAAAACCAACATTAAGATTCTTGAAGAGATTCCGGCGTAGGTATTAACATAGTTCATTGTAATATGGTTTGATTCTATTCTAATCTTCTATTCTTTTTTTATGTGAGAAGACGGCAAGCGAGCTCGCGTTTCACCTGGTGTTAACTGATAACCGCCGCCCATGGACATTTGCAACACCCGTTAGGTTGCCGATGTGTTGCCACCTTTTAACAAAGTGGATCCCATACATCACTCACCGGACGAAACGCAGAAGTATAAGTAGTGGCTAAGCACTAAAAATAAAATGTGCAGTTTAAAAAGTATAAACTGAGGAATTTTCTTTCGCCGCTTTTCGCGCAATTAGAAAATTTTGGAATACGCGCCTATTTTAACTAAAATAGCTATTGGTCTTTCCAGCATCTCGAAGGTTTCAAATTGGATGCCGAATCATTGTAACTCTTTTCTGTTATGATATAGCCATTTACAATAAACTTTGACTGACGGGAATAAAATTTATCAGAAAAACTTTAGTGATTAAAATTTTTATGGTGCTAATTACACTTAAGATGAAACATTAAAATTTGTATAAAAAGGACAATGTTGATAAAAAATGTTGATATTTTGGTCAGTGTGGCAATCAACCGTTTAGCTTTGTGGTTGAAGCATCTGGGGGTGAATCCGGAAGAAGAGGGTTTGATTTGGCGAAAGAGTTTTCTTCCTTTGTTCTACTAATTTTAACTTTAAGGTTTATTATTACCTACTGCAACTACGAACCTATATATAATTTGTTATGTAAAATTTGACGATTCATAAGAACGCACACGCGTCTTTTTATTTTTCTGGCGATCCAACTTACTTTAACTAAAAGATAGCATCTTTGCACAAAGAAATTGTTCGCTTCTAAAGCGTATACGCTCGTCTTTAGAAGCTCGCTTTTCAATTAGCATGCTAATGAGTCGGTGTAAACTTTTATCCGGATTATTTTTGATATCTCTTATGCAAAACTCCATGAGCGATGACGTCCTGCTTGTCGACGGAAAGTAATAATGATAGAAATTATATGATGACGTTATTAAAGAAACTGTTAACAGAATATTGTGCGCATAATTACTTAGCTTCCAATGGTTTTAGTTATTCTGGTGTTCGCGTAAATGTAAAAAATTATAATAACGTTTAAAATTTTACCCCAAACTGATTTTGTTACTAAAATGTAAATACGATCCTCCAGGATGGTAGATCGTCGTTTAGTCCACATTATATAATAATTTAATAGCTTAAAGTTACTTAATGTTAAAAATAAATATTGAATATTGTAGTTGTTCTAAAATTCTTCATGCCATCAAATAAAACATCGACTAAGTACAAATAAAGCTGAAATACAAAAAAAAAAACACTGGTAATACTGTACTACTGGTAACGGAATTATTTATTATGAAATAATTTATTTGAACCAGGACTAGTGTATTATGGCTTGAGATCATATATTTCCTCTATACGTTACTTGAGAACAAATGTATCAAAAACGCGGTCTGAACTGACTATAATCGACAGATTCATATCCGGTGTGATTGTGTGTTCCTCGGAATCCTATAACAGTGATATTTTTTTCATATTTTTTTTTTCATTTTTTCTCAATCATCATTCATCAACATATTGAAGATGAAGATTTAAAACTTAAATAAGACAGTATACGCGAATTCGTAGTATAATAAGCACTTTAATCGGCTATTTAATTATTAGATGCATTAAAATATACAACCGTTATTGTGCGTTCATATTCAACAACAATGACAGCTACCGTCATTCAAGATGGCGGAGGAACGCGCGTGGCATCCTCATTCGAAGCCACGCAGCCGCGGACTGCGTATCTGTGGGTCCGCCGGGGCCTCCTCGGCCGCTTAATTACGCCATTGTTTATTAGGGGGTCGGCATTTGACGGACCGTTGTCGGGCCCTTTCCGAACCACCCTAGCGACCTCGAAACATCCGATAACTCCCGTCAAACTATTCGCGTCGTCAAAGCTGTCGACGCTTTTGTGTTCCGAGTTGCCTTCGCTCGTTGAACGTTCTAACAGTGTGTTTGATAGATTGCCTAATTAGTGCTAAACGATTCTCGTATACGTACAAATTCTTTTGTAAATAGAAAATATACAAGTTAATACGTTTCTTTACAACACAAACTGCTTTTTTCACTACATCTGGCGCGCTTATAAATTTTTCTCCGCTTATAATTATTCTATCACATATCAGAATTGACATCCTTTGCTATTATATATACTATACTACATACATCATTTTGAAAAAAAGTTTAAATGCGCAACGCTTTAATATATCTGTCATTCTCTGTAAAAGTCAAGTACTTACAATGCATTTTGTGATTTTTCCAGAATGTACTTACCTGTGGACAGAAAAAAAAATACAAATGAGTACACGGAGATATATCCAAAAATCAAAGCACAGATCAAGTCTTGCGATAGTTTATCGAAGCTTCATAGGGCTGAGAATCGACTGAGAATAGGCTGTGTTTCGGTGATTTAATGACGTCACAACCACTCTGTAACCACAGCAATAAACTATTTCGTTTTCATAAAAACCTATACCGCTAAATGACTTGTCTTTCCTTTTTATTTATGTGCGGGCCTTTTGGAAGACTATCATAATTTAACTGTGTTCATATATTCTCAGCACGTTATTCAAAAGATTTTTTTTCTTTTTAATTGTGATTATCGTCGATATAGAAAGCTGACAACATAATTATATTCAGTAAATGAACGTGATACACGATACAACAAGGGTAATTATGTTAACGATTGTTATCGCATTAAGCGGGACCTTTTGATCACTACAGCGCGTAAATTGTGACGCTGATGCCTTTATTAAAGGACTTTTATAACTGGCTAATAATTATAGCAAGGGCGGACAGGACCGCTTCCTTTCGCGTACTCATACGGTAATTGTATCCATAATTGAAAACTATAGCGTTAGCCGCGCAGCAATAACTAAGTACAAAGGGAAGAGGACAACCGCAAGTTACAGCAGCTGTGCCATTCGCAAGTTACGTACACGTAGACGTGAGCCACAACACAAACTGTACCCCGCAGACACGCCTTTACAGGACTTAATTAAAACAGAAACGAACACAGTGTAATCGATGCCAGAGTACGTGGGGACGTCGGAGGTGTAACAGACTCCGTAGCGACGTGATGTGCTCAAAGAAAACACAACTAACTGCAACATAAAGTTATATCAACGTTAGAACATGTCGAAAAAGTACGAAACGATTGTCGCCGCTGTGGGAATCGAACCCACGTCTTCGGCATTCGCGGCCTGACGCTCTAGCCACTGAGCTAAAAGGCTGATAGCCACAGCGACGAAAATCTTAACATTGTTATTTAGCATT